TCCTTCCTCACTCATTTTCTCATGCTGTAATTGAAACAGGAGCATTTATTCCACATCCTCTTGCTCGGGGCACATTCTTAATGTATGTATCCTTCAGAGGTTTTTGAACAGGAGTCATTATTCAAGAAACAACCTAGTTTACTTCTCTTGGAATGCGTTTTATTCAGGCTCAGTGCCTGCTTCTAGTCATCTACCGAAAGTGGTTTAAACATCGTGCACAATCTTTATCTAAAGATGGCATCCCCTTGGGAATATGTTTGTTTTTCCAAGAGATTCAACAGGTGACAGATGTTAGAGCCAAATAAAAGAAAAAGGTGCTGATTTATGTACCCTAGAAAAAATACTTCTATCGTATGAAAATAGGTTTCAAGAAAGCTACGAAACCACAAATAAATCTGAGAGCCAAAAGAATACTGAAAGACCTTCCGAGCTGAGCTTTTATTCTTAGAATTGAGCTGTTTGAAAAAATAAAAAATGTATTTTTAAAAAAAGCGAAATGAATTCAGTTTCACATCCCACTGACCTCTTACAACCAGCAGCATTCACACAGCATTCAGTGTTGACTTTTCTAAGATTTGCAGCAGCATATCCGACTTTTACAGCCGTCTGTGCCACATCAGCAGAAATCACTACATGCTGCTTGCAATTTTGTAAGAGTAGTTATTTCAAGTTTTGAAAAACCACTAATGTGCTTGACGATGTCTGTTAGAAATAGCCCAGTAAGTCATCGGCATGTCTTTTTAGATTTGTTACAGTGTGAGCAGAGATATTCCTGGTGTAAAGTTTACTGGCAAGACTTACAGATTATAAAAAAAGAGATTTCCATTGTACAGCATGTTGACTTTAAGAATCATTCAGCTTATTTCTTCAATTTTAAAAAAGCCTGTGTAAATGCAAATGAATTATCTCACAATGCTAGTTGTGTCCAGCTGGCCATTTTTGGCAAACTGTCATTGCTAATTTCTCAACTTCACAGATTAAACACCGATGTGTTACAAACCTGCAGACTGCTGCAGAGCGCCTCATGCTGCCTCTCAGAGACGAGCTCATCTGAAGCCTGTCCTCTGGTCAGATGGGCTGCCAGAACAGCAGTGACCATGGCGACACATGTCTGGGCGGCTTGGTGGTTTATTGTGGACACAGGCTTTTATATCTGAGGTGCTACAAAATGTTACATAACAGCACTATCCAACAACATCATCTCTCGGTGCAATTTTCACAGTTCTTTTATAACAGGCGAGGATTTCATAACTCCTCCATGGCTGGACTGGAGCGTTTGTATTGAATTGGGACCTTAAATCAATTTCTTTATGCTAGGTTTACACTTCCATATCGCTTGTCAAATATTCCCTCATCGCATACTTTATTCTTATCTTTTAGGCGACACCTCTGACTTGTTTTTCCTTGTGCAAAAAGGAAGACTTTTGTGTTGCTTAGCAGGAATAGCTGGAGGAAGGCCTTGAGAAACCAAAAAAATGTAAAGAAAGAAAATGCTTAAAAAGGTCCCTCTGACCTGTAGGGTCAAAGAATGTTGTAACTCTCCTTCTTTTGGCAAAAAAAGCCCATCTAAAAAAGTTTGCTTCCCTTCCGGCAACACTCTAGATCACAGTGGCATTTGTTGTGTGGGTGTCGGAAATATTTTTTCTCCTATGCTACTGTCGAGTATTGTCTGTGGGGTAAAATGCTTGTAAAATGTCTGATTGGGATGAGAATCAAGGTTTCTAGCTCTTACAGTTAATTATTTAAGCATCCCCTGGCTTGCGAAGAAAAATTGGGAAAATAGCTTGCCTCCATTCCACAATGAGGAAGCACTTTTGATATCTGCGCTTTCCATCTAAGCCTGTCACCGTGCAAAAGCAAAACATTAGCAAATGCAGATGCTCTCAAGAGAGCCCTCATCAATCAGTGCAAAAGATGCAATCTCATAAGCCTCTCGCTTGCTTAAGAGGAAAACAAAATCTTTTGATCTCCTAAATTCTGACAGAATGACCTGTCAGGGTTTTCGCTTGGCAGCCGTTTCCATATCCATCCTTTGTACGCCTTCTGTGTACAGCAAGGTTACACATGGGTTGTCTCACCTTGCAGTTTACATCCACGTCCCCCACGCTAAGTAAATGAAACCAAACTCGCGGCATTCCTTTGCAGTCCTCCTGCTAAAGACAAATTGCAAGGCAGCTGGGGGGAAGGCGTTGTCCAGAGAGTGATTCATATTAATGGCTATCTGGCAGTGGAGAGCGGCCTGCATATGCAAAGTCCATTAGCAGGTAGGGCTTAAGTGTGTGGCCGGGCAGAGTCACTGGGAGATGCACATACATGAGAGGGCGGGTGGCAAAGAGGAGCCTCAGAGCAGCGGTTTGGAAAGAGCTGCAGGTGCAGAGGACATGTGTAATGTGAGAGTGTAATGCAGTTACATCACTGGGCCTCTTTATCCACAAACCCGATAGGGCTGTTTTACCGAGATGCTTACACAGAGCATTTTCCTAAACATTAACAAGAACTCATGAGCACACGGCTCAGCAGAGGGACGGGGAAGCACATTATCAGCAACGATTTAAGAGGATTTTTTGTGTTTATTTCGCTGGTATCACTGCAGTCCAAAGTTAAATCAAACGTGCAGGTAGGTGTCTTGTAACTACTGTTGTGATGGCTCATGCACGGATAATTAGTAACTTGTAAAACTCAAGTTAGATTCATCACTACACTGTAAACCAACAGTGACATGAAATGTCACGGGGGTGCTCATTTAGCTCAGCCTCTGCAGAAACCATGAAGAGTGCCTGATGTTGTTTTACCTCTCTAACCAGTGCATGCAATACACAACCCTAGCATAAAAAGCAAGTATCCTGCCACCTGTACATATAGGATATGGCCAAAAATCTGTTTTTGATGATGGTGGCTTTGTATTTTTTTTTTAAAAAGCATGTAATTTCCTCCTGAAAAACATTCATCCAAAAGTGCAAACTGGACCGAGGCAAAGTATGAAGCCTTTTTTTGCAGTTATTAAAATCTAAATTTGAAATTCTTTTTGGAAATCAGATCACCGCAACCTTTGGACTAAAGTCGAGAGGGACAATCCAACTGTTATCAGTTAAAAGGAACCTGCATCTCTGATGGTGTCAGGGTGCATTAGCTCCCGCACAACTTGCAAATTGAAAATCTGGAAAGGCACCTTTGGTGCTCGAAGGTACAAATGGATTTATGTGCAACGTCATTACCGCAGTGACTGTGAACCCAGGGGGTCAAAAGGGAGCACTCAGCTGTATTTGTTTGGCAGCCACGAGATCCTTAAATACAGATTACAAGGCAACAAGATAATTACGAGGAAAGGTTCCAAGATACCGAGGTAGACTTCACCGATTGCCTTTAAAAAGAGGGAAACTGTTCAGATCCAAAGAACATCAGAGCCTGTTGCAACCAGCTGAGAAAGATGGTGAAGAAGCAGACCGAGGTCCCTTGAGTTCCGAAGCCATCTTAAAAGTCCCTGCAGTTCCCACTTTGTGTTTGAAAACGCAAAACTCCATGTCAAGAAAAGGATTACTTAAAACTACACAGGGAGCATTAATATAACAAATTTCCCTTCACACAGATCTTGCATGGGAATCGAAATGTTAAAGCTGAGTCATGAAGATTTAAGTGGGCCTGTAGTCAGTGTTGCCTCACATATTTTTAAGATCCAACCTGTGTCATATTGAGGGATTAATGGGGAAAACTGCTAAATTTGACCTAAAATTGGAAAGTTGGAACAATATGAGAGGCTGCCTGTTTACCCTGTCAGAAGCATGGTAGAGCCATGATGCTAATTCAGGAAACATTTGATTTCCCGATTAAAAGATTTGTGATATGCAAAGCTTTATTCTATCTTGTGGGTGGATCATATCCATAATGCAAACAGTTTCTTCTCTGAGGAAAAATCAAATTTCCATACAGTCTGTTTGTTAGATTACACCATCCCTTATCTTTATAGAAATGAAAAAATTCACAGATAAAAGCTGGAAAAAATTCAACTATTCATAGAGAAATTCTACAGCAGTGTCAGAATGGCCTGAAAAGTGAAAGATGAAAGGAGTCAGATTATAGTTTTCATCCCTCGATTCAGCCAAATTATGTAGTAATGATGACCGAGATGAGTTGTCTTTTTTCTGCATGAAAGTCATCAGTGAGGAGGTCTGTGGTTTCACTCATATCAAAGGCAACAGCACTATATTTAAACTCACATCTCCCGTTTGACTCACTCTAAGCTGGGGCCAGAACCAGAAAAAAAAAATCAGTAAATGACATCTGAGCCGGTTAACCCATAAAAAAGACATAATAAAATAGTGATATAAATCATGTTAATGATTTAAGCATATGAATAGGATATTATTACGGCACTGTTTTGAAAATGATAAGGAATGAGAACTCAGTAAATGACTTTATATCAGATCTAGACGTTATCAGACAACTGTGGACATGTAACTGATATGAATGGTACACTGCGTTTTGTTAGATGGCTGTTTTCTGCACAATATGCTGCCGTCAGGAACATTTGGCACTTTGTTTCATCTGCAAACGTCACCTCCAGCGAACGTGCACCACAGCCCAAATAATGAGCACTGTCATCTCCCAGAGACCTGCAGTCTGAGCCGGGCCGGGAAATGATCATGACCGTGACAAGACAGACTTTCTCACAATTACAACTCCTTCTTCGCCCTCGCTGCCTTGCACACAGATGAGGACGGACAGCAAGCCACACTCGAGTCTGATCAATCCTCCGTATAGATTTTCCATTTTTATCTACCTTCCTGCATGTGCTTTCCACCCATTTCAGGTTTTTTTTTAACGAATACCTCTGGATCCCTTCACTTACACAAACAAGTCTGTCCTATTCCTTCCTTCTCAACCAGAAAAAAAGAGAGAGAAAAAACTACCATCACCTGTGATAATTTAAATTTTTAGAAAGTCACTGGGACATGAAATACGCATTTTCTTACGGTCTGTACATGGTATTGTCAGAGTGCATTTTACGACAGGTTGTCGAGTTTGCTACACCTGCCCAGAGCTGCGAGACAAAGAGGGGGGAAGGAGGAAGATGAAGAGAGCAGGGGAGATAAGCCGGAGTGAATATTGGCTGACCTGGTGGTGACCTGACCTCCGGGATTGTGTACCTGTCGACAGGGACAGATGTCTCCGCTGCTCTGTCCGTCTCCTCATCTCTTGCTGACATCAACAAGCTGTATTTTACTGTCACTTGAGCTGTCTCTGTAACTTCAACCCCTCCCCCCGATTTCTTTAGTCTTTCTCTTCTCACTTTGACATCTTACCTCGGGCTGTTTTTTCTCTGTATCTGCTACCACTCACATGTCCTCACTTCATCACTGTGTCCCATTCGCGTTTGTTTTTTGGTCTATAAATTGCTTGATTACCTAAAAATAAACACTTTCTCTTTCTTTAAACCAGGGTCTGTAGAGATATTTCACATATTGTCAGATGAAGCTTCTGTAATTCTTTATTGACACTCAGGATTGAAACCGTATGTGCAAAAAATGTTCTGAAGTCGGGCTTTTTAAACCCAGGAACGACATTCACCAAATTCAGAATTTGTTTGCAAAAGAGCAGCTTCACCAAGCATGAATAAAGCCATTTTCAACGTGCTATTCATGCATTTAAAAGTGGCACAATCTTGTTCTTTTTTTGTCTTTTCTCCATTCCGCCTTGAAATAGAATCACCTGTGAAGCTCCGGGGTACCAGGTTCTGACAATGTTAAGTGTTTTACTGGTTTGGAATTAAATTTGCATGCATTTACTCTTCTGTGACAGGGAGATGCTCATTTAATAGAAGCAACTAATTATATCATAACTCGGCAGGTCATTTTAACTCTGTGACTTTATAATGTCTTTCAGCACTTTGCTCCCTCCACAGCTGGCAGCTGTGCGCTGCCTTCTCAGCACAGGGCAGTTTGAGAACAAAGTTTTCAAAGAATATACAAAGATTGATCAGTTTTTTGCAATTGAGGAAAAACCGACACGGTTAGTTTTCCAATTTCTAACGGCTTTCAGATATAAGAGATACAGATAACTCTGAATTATAACACACATATACAAAAATAAAAATATTAAATAGCAATAATGAGGAGGGGAAATGTTGCTTGACAACTTTGGTGGACCTGCTTAGGGAGCATCATCTAAAATCTTTGGTGGACACGGACACTCGACTTTTCACACGCCATCAAAAATAAACGATACAAGATTACCTGGAGACAGAACAAGTCAGCACAGTTAACTGCCCCCTCTCAATCGAGCATAGAGCTTCACATTGTGAAATTGCCAAGTGTTATGCTGAGAAGTACACACTGTGACAGGGAGACCTGTAGCCATGGCGACAGCCACTTGCTAGGCAAGCAGTAGAGCCCGGAGAGCGATTATTGCTTTTTTTTTTTTGTCCTAACTCGAAGCTTTTATTTGTAATGATACTTCTTTTCGACTGTTACATTGAAAAAGAAAAGATAATAACTCACAAGCACGCTGGGAAGATACAACATCTTTAGGGTGACTGGACTGTCTCGCTGCTGAATCAAATGGATATCATTGCTCTGATAGTGCTGCGATATTGGCAGCCATGAGGCATGGGATGCATGTTGGGTTGTTATGGAGCCCACAGATGGCCAGATGACACCATATTGTAGCCTTAAAAAATTAAACACGTTTATTCATTTACCAAAGTGACGGAGAGGTCGCCGTTATTACAGCACAGCACTGGCATTCCAAGACAGTCCTATTTTTGTTGCCTGAAAAAAACTTGAGTTTGGTAAGTAAAACTTGTCTGTCAGGGCCTATGTGTGTGACACTTGGATAATTTTAAAAAGCCGGTTAGGTGAGGGTGTTCGAATGTGAACAAATCATATTTCAGAAGGAAAAGCTCTCCCTTATGCCATAGGCATCATGCCAAACTTTTTTTTTCCAGTTTAACAGCAGACACCTGGCATCCTCTTTAGACATCTAACACCTTTCCACTCACCATTCTGAGGAGGTTAAATGTGTTCCCTCTATTAAGCTTTCTCCTAATATTTTTGGCTCCTTTCAGGCTCTGTATTTTACTGGATCAAACTGTTCCTGCACGGAAAAAAATACCTCTTAATCTGTATTGTGTATCTGGAGCTCTGCTGAGGTGTCAATTATCATCAATTTTTGGGGTTACTTGTCACCTTCTAAAGATGTAGGCAGGTACGTTTAATGGACTTTGAATAGATGACCTGTGCCACTTCTAGTTTGAACTCAGCAACGTGATCATAGTTGGCAGTCGGCTCCGCTACTTTAAACCGTGCTGAGTGAAAAAACTGAAGTTCTGCTCACACGCGTACATGAGGAACGAATAAAGCTGAACTGTCAGTTTCATTAAAATGACGGCAAATCAAAAAATCCCCCCTTTAGACCCGTAAAGCTGGTTTAGGTACCTAAAAGCTAAGGAATCAAAGCAAAACACTAATGATCCAACGGAGAACAAAGACTCCCGTCTACTGGATTGATCTATGCAATAATCCAGCACAGCATGATAAAACTCTGTGATTGTCTTTTTTGTTTAACAAAACCTCACTTTTAAAACGCTTATACATACATGTGTTTTTCTTAGTTAGGAGCATACACTGCACTTGCAGCTTCTGGCTCCTGTGAGTTGGCATCAAATTAAAATGCGCATAGATCAGGTTACAAAAAAAACAACAACTGCATTTTCCGTATATGCCATCCCAAAAATAATTCAGGTGGCCCCCTCCCGCCCAGCTCACGCGGGCATCGCATGCTGGTAATGACGGCGTGACATTGTAAGTGCATATGGAGTGTATTAATGTCACGTCCTGTAAATTACCGTGACGGTCTTGATGCGACCACTGCCCCTGGTGCAGGTCCAGCCGGATCTGTTAAACAGGAGGCTGCAGACCTCGCCCTCCATGCAGGGAGTCATCTCACACCACTGACGGCTCCGCACGATCCGCGCTGAGGGGGGTGTGGGGGGGGTGAAAGACAAGAGTGCAAAGAGACAAATTAGACAGACTGACAAAGCCAGACAAAAAGCTTCCAAATGTCAACTTTTTTTCCGGAGCAAAACCGAACTGTCATTTGGAGCCAGGCAGATCGAGAAGCTGAAGCAGATGCTGGCGTGCCACAAATCCTGCAGGACTCTAATGAAGTTCTTGTTGGACTAGCATGTCTGAATTGCCTGTGGTAGTAACCTTTACCCACCAGATGGCTGTCCATAAATTATTCTGCTGCTAAGGCTTGCGTTCGGTGCAGCTGCATGGATTGATAACTTGCTCCGTTTGACATTTTGCCACAAACATTACCCCTGAAACTGCCCAAGTACATCTGGAAAAGTTTATTTTACGGCACCACATTGTGAAGTTTAATTTCAAGATAAAAACTTTTAATTTATTTTTTCTTTCGCTCGCACTGCAGGGATGGTTCGGCTTATTTAGACCAACACAGAAATTGAACGAAACTATCTATTATACACAATATGTGCCATAAAAAAATCCAACACGTTTTTCACTGCAGGTTTTATCAACATTTTCAGACCTGCAATTAAACCAAATATTGTTCTTTTGTCAATTTTTTGTTTATGGTGGTTGGGGTTACTCTGGGCTTTATCAGCATTACTGTGAGTTAATGTGACCAATTACATTTTTTTTTTCATTTCATTTGAGGCTTCATAGTGGCTGTTACATGCTGCATGGGCTTTCTCTCAGTAATCCTATATCCTCCCACACTGCAGAAACATGCATCTTTGGTTAAATGGTTATTCTAAATTCTCTTTTGTTTGGTTTGTCTATATGTGAGGCGAGGACAGGGATCTTCTGGCCTTGCATTTTTAGAATGATTTATTTAAATAGCAAAAAAATGAAACCAAAAGTACATCCCAATTAAGGACAAGGACTGAATGCAAAATTCTGTGAAATATTATAAAAGCAAAAGCCCAAGGTTAGGATAAATAAAAAAATAAAAAAGGAATGGATCATTCTGAACATTCCTCTGTTGTGATATGATGAGATAGGACTGAGCTAGGCCTTTGAGGGTTGTGTATGCGATAAGAGTTTTTACCTCTATTTCAAATTTTGCCGGGAGTCAATGTCGTGAAGCAAACGGGAAAAACACGATCGCTCTCTTTGTGACACAGGTCAGTACTCTGCCCGCAGCACCTTTGATAAACTGAGTAGTTTTCAGGGAATTAATCGTGCACCCAACCAAACTGAATTACAGTGGTCTGTGTAGTAATCACATCCAGACGTGATGAATTTAGAGACACATTTAAAACTCCAATATAGATATTTAGGAAACACAGCAACGCCAGTATTAGGGTGGGAGATTCCTTATTACTTTGGTAACCATTATTATCATTATTATTTTCACATGTCTTCAACAAAATAATACTAATTCCCACGCTGTGTCCATCACAACAGCATGGCGTTGTAAAGGAAGAGTCCAAGTGCACTCATGTGTACATATCTGGTCTGGGAGAATTGCCCTCTGTGTTTGTGGCAGCCTATCAATTGCATCTTTTGTTTTGAGACAGCCATGCATTACAGCACTAACATGGCTGCCATCCATTCACATTAGAGCAGTCGAGCTGCTGGAATATACGTTTCGTTATTTTACATAGCCGCGATGCGCCTTTTGACAGCTGCAGGTGAACCAAAAATAAATTCCCAGTCCCAATTCCAAAACATAGATTAGATGGAGGATTACAGAACAGAGAGAGGCAGTAAAATGGCTTTCTCCAGTCCCAAAGTTATTTGTTGGCAGCCGATGTCAAGCTGTCAGAGTGAGCTGGGGATGTTCTCATTCTCCCACTGCAGTCTGACTGCCTGACATTGAATTAACATTCGCCTGTAGTCGACACCGATAAGCACTGATTGTTCTTTACACAGCGTGCTAAAGCAACAGCGAAAGGTTATCGGCTCTCTCCGGACCTGACCGGGGCCGTTGCTCCTGCCCGCCTACGATCCCCCGGGGCAGCACATTGTGGAGTGCAGTAACATGGTTGGCAAATTGAAAGAGGGGAACCACAATTCGCTGAACGTCCACAGGAGAGCCCAGGGTGGAACAGAGAGGTGGAAGGAGTAAAGAGGTGTAGAGAAGGAGGCCTTATGACATTTTCTGTGAGGTATTCCTGGTCCAAGCCTTGTTAGCCATCTGAAATTGCTCTGCGGAGTGTCAGATCCTGACACCTACTTCACAGTAAAGATCTGTCCTCTCGCACCATTCATAAAGCTGGCCAATAGAAAAAACCCCAAAACACTAATGCATGCAACCACACACACACTGAAAAAGTCAGTGCTCTGTAAAAAAAAAAAAAAAAAGCAAATAAACAATATCTAACTTTTCAAGTGGATGAAAACCTTTGCTCTGCTTTCTGTCTGCTCCCAGCTCTGCTATGAAACCAGGAAACGCAGAGGGAGAAGACAAAAAAAAAAATGAGATCCCCGTCACGTCAGCGAGCAGAACAAGCCGCAAAAAACCATTTAAACTCCGCAACTAGATTGTGAGACAGAATGGTCATTATGGTTTCACCCTGAAGTGCGGAAATCTGAAGTGACCTTCCTCCTGACACAGCAACATGCCGTGGTGAATTTCCATTTTCACAGCCATCCGTCAGGCGCAACAAAGCGTAGATTTATCAGTCAGTTGCAGATGTAGTTTTGAGTGCATTACAGGGCCAGCAAAACTCAATTTCCAGGGCACGGAATAAGAGCTGAGCTGGCAAAGCGGACGGAGTGCTGACTAACCATGGAGAGCATCAACCCAGCCAGCCAAGAGTGGCGGAGGGTGGCTAAAATAAATGCATTTTTCTGGTCCCGCCACAGTCACCAGGCCTTAGGTGACCTGCCCTGCTTGCTTTTCCCGTGCCATCATGAAAGTGTGAGCAGATCCATGACGGCTTTGTGGATCTTCAGGTGATGAGAGACGCGGAAAGGTCACGCTGCTTTGGTTGGAAAGGAGAGAGCCAGCATCATTAAGAAGACAGGCGGCAACAAAACTGATGCAGCTTCGCTTTGGCCCCACTCTTCAAACCCGTCGCTCCAAGATCCCGGTTATCAAATTAAAAAGGCTTCTGAAGGGCAAAATCAGTATCCACAGAAGCCTTATCTGTCTACACAAACATTTCACCTCAGAACACTGTTTATTCTCCCTGCCGGTCCAAATAATAAACCTGGCTTATTGTTGGATGGCTAAATTGGTTCAACTAGCCGAGAAACTCTTTGGAATTACGATGTTATTACATAAAGATTCTGCTTTGTGTTGGGACTGAAGATGATTCGAGGCCCCCTGAGGACTGTTTTTTTCCGGCTCATGGTGGTGGCAGTGCACAGCAGCAGCAGTTCGGGGGTGAAACAGCTGGCCGAGGAGGTTGGAGGAGAGATAGAGAGTGTGTCTGGACGTCACCTGGGTGGCCCGTCCTGTTGCTGCTGTCAGAGTCCCGTGCAGGGACCACGGACACCGAGCCAAGCTTGTTAACTGCCAAGGTCCCTGCTGGGGTGCAGCCCTGAACCTCCAACTAGATCACACGTAAGACCATCTGTACTCGGGCGCATTAGTGCCAAGCCCTACCCAACATGACACTGCCAGATGAGACTCAGAGCAGGGCAGGAGGCAAAGCAGCGCTTTGGAAACCCGAGACAGTGATAATCCGTTCAAATTCTGTCGCTGCAAAACAGAAATAAATAGGTTGACATAAATGGGTGAAAGGAGATAGGTTTTTCTTTTGTTTTCTTTAATTTTTTTTTTTTTCCTGATACGACTCCAAAACAATACATGCTACATTACACTGCAACATCAATAACAAATAGAAAAATATGTAAATGCTTCTTTTTTTTGTCAATATAATAACAGAACTGGTAAGGATTGTTGCTATTCACCTCATCTCAATGCTTATCAAAAGCACACCACATCAAGTTTTGGATGTCCTTTATGTGATTTCAAAGCTTCACACAGGGGAAATTAATTTCCAGGCACGTAAGGTTAAAGTAGAGGACAAAGAGTGTCATTGTGGGGCTGGACAAAGCATTCAATGACAAGAGACGCATTCAAATAAAAACAAATAATTCGATTTGGCTTTTGTAACTACAGTGTCATGGAACCAGAATCTCATCCCGTTCACAGTTCATCAAGTAAACTGACATGTGAAAAAATTCAAAAGGCATCAAAATGACATGATTTGGCTTGTAATTCAAAACCTTATTTAAATGAGCCCGGACTAGCCCTCCATCCCACAACCAGCCCGATCTTATTTCAGTTTAAATTGTGAAAGTATAAAACATAATCAAACAAAGCTACATACATATATGTCCATTGTTCGTGCAAACCGTTGTGTGAAGGAAGCTTTTTTAATAGCTCTTCTTTGTTTTTCACTCGTTTTAAAGGCACATTTGCTTTTATCCTTGTTGGAAGTTTTAATTGATTAGCTTGAACTATTTGGCAGCTTCTACATATCAACACTTCAACTCCTCCGGAGTCAGATGTGAGGGTGAGATTCAGAACTGGCAAGAAAAATCCTAGTTCTTTAATTTACAATATTTCATGTTCATTTATGCTCATGACTCACTTCAAAATCGAGATATTATCACCATAAAGGAGTGTTTTTCTCCAAAGGTTCAAAAGTATTTTCTAAGAGTAATTCATTCCTTGATTGCTTGCTGTTGTTGGAGGAAAAAGAAACAAAGGCTCCATTGATGTGTGTGTGTAAATTGAGTTTACATCAAGTTCTAAATTAATGAAGCAATGGCTGGGCATAATTATTCTTATTAGCTTTCACATTTCTATTTGTTGTAATTGCTGCACAGCCTCCATACAAACAAAATGTATTTTGAATTAAAATCTTCTACCGAAAGCTGTGCTTTTAGCCTTTCACCCCTGAAAATGCTTTTCGTGTAATTATCAAAGCCTAAAGTTTAATGAAGGAATATTGACTAGAAAAAGAAAATCTTAAATCATTAGCGGCTGAGACACTTTGTGCCATGGAGAAACTTAAAATATGAAAATAAATCATTATCTCATGATATATAATTGCTATATATCCAGTTGTGAAAACTGCTGTCATCAAGTTGGAGTCACATGAAAATTACGTTTGAATCTATCTGCTCTTAAAGCCAGGTTTCTGTCAGCAGGTCACATCTTCTTTCCAACATTTAAACAGCCTCGATACAGCCTCCAGACTCTTATCATGGAAGCCATCAAGCTTCATACGATCACAGTGTGATGTGGTGGCATGGCAACAACGGGCCGGGCAGAGACGGGCAGCGGGGGAGACTCGGTGAGCAGATTAGAGTGAGAGCACGGAGACAAGCGGGGAAAAGCACATAATCCTCCTGTGTATAGTGTGAAGACCGAACCTGCACCGCACTGACATCCAGCTACACAAAGAGAGGGCAAAAAAGCTTGAAATATGTCCTGGAAAAGACTAACAAAAGGCTTCACTTTGAAGGAGAATACACTGCACTCTCTGCAGTGCAGGAAACAGTTTGGAGCATAAAAGCGGGGCGTAACGGGGTAAACATGTCTTCCTGCAGGAGCCATGGAGCCGGCATCTAGGTCAGTTAGCCAGTAAAGTCGATTTAAGCACACATAAATACACTTTATTCATTTTGAGGATTAGGAAAGCTTGTTGGTATCTAATTATGGAAGTAGGAGTGCCAGCACGATGGCGAGGGAGCTTCAAACAGTTGTCCAATTGTCTCCTTTAAGCCACCAGCTGCAGAGAAATGTAAAATAAGCTTTGGGTGGCAAGTGTAAATGTGCAGATGAGTTTCTCCAGTTTAAACTCGGACTAAAACCTGTGCATATACACTCTGAGGTCAGCTCCCGACACGGTCGAACCAAACATCAAACAATTGGCTTGATCAGTGTACCGTGTGAAATGTTATTCTTCCACTGATAAACACTATTTTGGACTATTTAGCTGGATTAAAAATGCATTCATGCTTGTTTGTGGTCATTCAAACCTGGAGGGCAGAAAGATGCGTCCATCAAAGTCTTTGTTATTCCGTGTAAACACATACCGCCAGAAAACATGTTACTGACAGCGGTGATGTTTGAACGCTGCTTAGAGATACACCGTTTTTACAAGTTTGCATAAAATCTGGTCAGTTTGACTTTCCCAACAGCAACCGGAATGATCTAATGATGTTTATGCTGGTAACCTTCCCCTCTCTCCCCCAAAAAACCAACGGGGATAAATGAGGAAGCAGCCATAATCTTTCTTAATTAGTCTGTTGGTTATAGAGCACAATATATAGTACCGTTATAGAATATTCTATACATACAGTTCTTTGTATTCAATATGTAAATATCCTTACAGACTAAAAAAGATTAATCTGAAAAATATAAGCATTTTTTAAATACATATTTAATTTATAGAAATTAGTGTTTTTTAAAGAAGTCATTAAAATTACCCAAAAAAACTGCCAGTTAAGGTAAAACCAATTATGTCTACCAATTATAATTTGGAAACAGTACTGTAAACTGCTGAACCAAATGTTAGATTTGGACAGTAGAGAGTATAAGTATTCAGTAATTTGCAGCAATATGTTGCGGGGTGTGTGGGGGCACAGCTAGTTTAGTCTGGGAAAACAAATTCACCACAAAAAATAAATAAATAGAAAAATCTGTTTTGCCTGCTTGGGTGATTTGAAAGCCAGCAGTCCCCAGTGACCCAGTCGTCTGGAAAACACTGCCATCTTATTTCTCTGGAAACCAAAAACATGTAAAATGTCTGCATTCAGCGCTGGGGCGTGAAAGTTTTTTCTTTTTTTTTTTGCACTCTTTGCACCATGTGCTTACTTTATGTTTCGCCTTTATTTCTTTATTTAACTTTTGGGACGCACAAGTAGAGATTTGTCTGGCAGGGAGCTGAGGAGGTGAATCAGTCGAGCATGTGCTGACAGAGATGAGTTTTAGTCCAACAGGAAACTCGTCATGTTTTATCTTCAGGATTAAGTCCTGTGGCTGCTGCTTATTCCCTCTATTTAATTAAATTGCTTCATGTACACTGAATAAACACTTTTTTGTGCTTTACAAAAAAAAATCGACATAGAAATAAGTCATGCAGATATTGTGCTGGTGGATTTAATAAATTGAAATATTTTGCACGTTCGTCATACACACTGCACGTTTCTGGTTTCCAGAAATGTAAAAATGCTGTTACTGATGATCAAGTTGCCTGTATGCTGCAAACTGCATGTCCTGATGATGCAAACCCTTTTGGAGACATCCAATCACAGAGTTGGATTTCACAACATCATTAGCCTAATTACAGCATACGTTGCAGTTTGAAATGCCCTCCGTGTTCACTTGTTATTCATTTGGGGAGGCCCTAGTAACTTTTTTTGCACCCTTTCAGCAATGTAACAGTTACAAATTTTTAGATATTTTTTAAAATAATTGATTTTGCTTCCACAAAAGTCTGATGGTGTGAAAAGCTTTTCTCTCACTTAAGCAAAAGAAAAGATTTCTAATCTTGGTTCTTCATTTCCTAGATAAGATCACAACATCTTACTCATTTTTCACTTTCTTGCAAAAAAAAAACAGGCACCGAAGGAAGGATGTTAAAGTTATTACTTTTATGGGGTAAAGCCATCAGAATTTAAGTAGTCCAAAAACACAATCCTGCCATCACACAACCCCAATCTCGAACATCTGATTTAGTGATCGGGAATCTGTAAATGTAATCAAAAGAATTTCAAACTAATTAAAGAGACATAATCACATCTCATCAATTCCACAACTCAAAGTGCGTTACTATGTACTGTATGTGTCAATGCGTGCAATTTTTTTCACAGTCTGCAGTCGCTCAGAGGCTGATCTTCTTTCTTTAAAGGTCACGATTCTATCACAAGATCACACAAAGGCAGTGATCCCCTCATGAGGCCATGCAATGGTTCTATACATTCCTCTTAAAAACAGCAAGACCTTGCTGTTGTGTAAACCACAACAGCACTGCTCTCAGTGGCAGATGTGCATGGATAAACACGTCGGTGGACAGTTTACCCACAAAGAAGGGTAAAGTGGCACTGAGGATTCATATCAAAAGCCGAGGAACGCAAATATGCTCTGAGCTAAGCTTAGTGAGGACACCGGAGGAGTGGCCGCACTGTGTTCTTATGCTCAATACCAAAATAGAGGTTTAATTCCGAGTAATGACGGACATCAGTTCCTGTGTCCGCAGGAAATCTTATTATGACCCTGCGAGCAACAGGTCCCATCTTTAATGCACTGGCTGTTAATGGAGCGTAGGGTGTGGTATGGCAGGAAGCCAGTAATAATTAATTTCCTGCTGCTGTAATCATAGTTCTCTGTAAATTAATCAGCATCTGTGGGGTGTTACAGAGAGATGTCTGCAGAGAGGGAGAGGTGGTTAAAAGCTTTGTGGAGAGGGCTGTGTGCGAGACATAGGCTGTGGGACTGTGGTCGTGTCAAGGCTATTAGATTAAGGCTAACGTGAGTCATTGCATGATGGAACTAATGGCACATCTTATGCATGTGATTGTGATACGGTGATCCAATCAGACCCTACCCCTCTAATCCTTTCATCTTTCTTATCACCCTTAACCAGATGATGTCCAGGAGCACTGAGATGAAAAAAGAAGAAAATCTTACCTACAAAGTGGATGAATGCAGCAATCTCCATTTCAGATTATCTTTAATAAAAACGTAACATTAGGAAGCCAGGACGAAAGGAACATTCAACACAGGAAAGGAGCGGTTGCTAATTTGCTGATATAGTGGCTGACAGGAGGAGGCCCAAAGTAGAGAAACAAGCGCATAGTTAAGAGTCAAACAATCCAAAATGTATCACAAAGGGAGACATGCGAAGCAATTATTGATTGGCTGGTTAAACAACCAAATTACATTGGCAGTTACTTTTAATGAAGAGCGAAGAAAAGCCAAACACTTTGTTCAACAAGGCTGCTATCGTTTTTATCAAATGCCACAGGGTGAGGAGCTTTTTTAAATTAGGAGAATTTGGGGGGGGGGAAATAAATCCATGGCTGAATGCTGCAAACTACAATGGGCAGACTAGAGCTCAGGTTCTGGATTGAAATGTATATAATGGGGACACGTTGACCGTCTTCAGAATATGTCAATGTGCAAAACCCTGCACATTTTTTTTTTTTCTCAAACTGCATTATATTTTCCATCCGACAGCAAGATTATGAACCAAATTTAGCTTTCGCTCTCAGTTTCTCCTAACGCAGTTAGAAGCATTTTTTTTTTGTTGATAAAAATAAATGAATAACAAAGACTATTGCATCTTAATCAGGTGTGCCAGATGTAAAGCGTGCAGGCTGCTCACGCTGCTTCACAGCGATGGGAGCCGTGATGGAGCAGAGACGTTGTTAATGGTTATTGTTACACCTGTGCAGTGTTTTTCCTGATGTGATTTTTCATGATGTTCCTGTTATGTCAAAGTGTCTGCAGTGAACAAGTCTGTGGAGTTAATTATCCCACTCTAGCTTCTTACACATTATCGCTGTAGCAATGTCTTAGTCCATATTTGATTTTTTTTTTTTTGTGGTAATCTTTTTAGAAGAGTAATCTGTATTTTAATAAAAGCCGACAGCTCTCGGAAAACCTGAGGGACCGGGCCCCAGCATGGACTAGCGCTGTGTTTTGCTCATGTTACTTGTTTCAGAAGGGTTGAAGTTACAAGAGCACAAGCGATTTTGTGGAAAAAGTGGCTCTGTATTATTTAAACAGCAGTAATGCTTTACATTCCAACTCAATTTTTCCCCCACAAACAAACTACTTTTTGAATTTCTGTGTTCTCTGACTTGGAAATGCATTTGTAGACCTGTACACCTAATAATGAATTCCAAAGCTGACTTCACACTTTGGTTTGTTTGGACAGCGCATTATTTTCTTGGTTGCACAAATGTTGTCCTGTTTATGTACAAAACCTGAAGCCCAGAAAAACCTGATGTTTCTTCTACACTCAAAATGTGGGATGCGCTTCTAAAATCAGAAAAATGTTTTATCGCTGACAAAATTTTAATATCAAAAGTCTGTTAAATTAAAATCTATCTGATGGCTCAATTAAGTCTCAATGGAATAGCATGCGCTTCAACAACCCCCTTTTGTTAGAGAACACAAAAGCAGATAAGACTGAACTGTCCTCACAGTCTTCAGAAAATCATTCTGCTCATGTGTGAAAACGGCTTCTTATGCAAATAAAGTGTACTGTCTCGCTGGCAGAATGGCCGCTGTGTTAAAAACAGGACTGTTATAAACACAAAAGTGTGGAATCATGGAACAGTGGAAAAGCACCAGGGGCTGTTTCAACAAATCCCACCTTCCGGTGAGTTTGATTAAACAGGCCTCTTCTCATATTCCCAACAACCAGCTGAGTAATTTCACCAAAATATCTTTTTCTGTAACAGTTTGATGAAATAACTTTCTGCAGAGATGGCCGAAAATTATTTTCTTTACTTTGTTTTAATGACTCGGACTGTTCCGCTGACTCTCGCCAGCTGTGATCTGGAACATCTGCCCACCCGCCGGGTTAAAGAGGTCGCTCGACCTACCGTCCACACAGGCTGGCCGCGCCCTGGTGGTGCCAGCGATCTGGCCTCTCCGGCAGGCACAGCGAGCCGTCTGCCTGGCGATGGTCCGTCTGGGAACACTGCTGTCTCTGTTGAGCATCACTATCTCGCAGGTTCCCACCGCCAACTGGCCTGCCAAACACAGCGGCGAGGAGCAAAAAAAATATCACATTAGCATAATGAGAGCGTAATGAACATGTTCCACAGCAGCAACTGGTGTCTGAAGGTAAAACCAACAGACATCCTGTTGTTTGAGAGGAACTTATTTTCAAATGTGACCTTAACATCCTAATTTAAGTCGAATGATTGAAAGGAAAAAGGCCAAATTTTGGGGGGGGACCTCCCACGATCCACTACGCCCTCTGCTCTCCTTTCTGATCACATAAATACGACGTCAATATTGTCATTAACTTGTGTTTGTCTCTCTCAGCAGGTATCCTCGGCCTGGTGTCATGGTGCTCTGTCCTGTCCTCTTAACCTCCAGCTGCTCGAGGCAGATGGCCGTCCTCCGTTAAGTGAAATTAATTCATGTTAACATCTATCTGAGAAAGACAAATTACAGTTTATTATTTCAGATTCCTGTTGATCGGTGGCCTAGGCTGACGCAACCAAACACTATAGCACAGAAAGAAACTATGATGTTGAGTGAAGCAGGTGGATGTGATGTCAGAAATGTAAGAAAAAAAAAGATAATTAAAATGAGGTATGAAAAAGATGTACTGGCAGCAGAAATAATGAGAATAATAATGTATGCTTGTTGACAGACAGGAAGTTGCCTGAGCACCGTGCCTCTGTGACAGACCGGCCAATTTCCAAGCCAACCCGAGCTCTACTGAGACAATGAAATGACAAAACGTCAAACCCTTCCTCAGAAATGTGAGAAAGAAAGGATGTCTGAGGCTCTATCACGGTTCTATCAGAGCACACATCATTACAACAGAGCTCTCCAAGCACTACAAACTAATGGAGAACACACTGGTGACAGAAAGGATTATCTCTGACTCAGTTACAAAAAAATGGAAGAAACATTTCAGCGTTTTAAGTCCCGCTTTCGGGCCTCTTCTTTATTCAGTCTTTAACACGTTAATACATTCTTAAATCTTCTCATCTTTTTTCATGTCAGGGGATTTATAAGTGTTTACAACCCCCCCCCCAAAAAAAAATTTAAGCTTTGCCATTTAGTTTTTCACTTCAGCAAACTGCAAATAACTTAAGGTATTTCTAATCTGATTCAAGAAAATGAAGGACATCAAATGCATGACATGAATCTCAAGCTTGTGCAAAACTATTCTCAAGTCGAAATACACGGCTTTGTGCAGCTGTACTCATGCAGATGACCGTTGTGATGATTCACAGTGAAACCTTTCCAATAACGACAGGCAAACAAAGTAGAGGAAGTTTCTATCCTCATATTTATTTAAAAAAAAACAGTCTGCATGGCATTTATTGGCAGTTTTGCTGAACGCTTATTGAGACGGCTGTAATATTTTTGTGATTCATTTGGAAACCTGAGGGGACAAGCTGAATTTTTTTCATTTTTTATTTAGGCCTTCGTGGTATGTTCGAGGGAGTTATTAAGTGTTAATAGTCTTGTGTTTTATGGACAAACAAGCTTTAATCACAAGAAAGCGCTTGAGGCAAAGTGCTTTGAAATAATACATGTGGAAGAACAAATGTTGCCGCGTAGATGACTCATTTCCAATATTGTAATTGTCATTTAAATCAACAGCCAAGTTAATGCTCAGATGAGAGCTGAGAGGACTATTCAATAACCCTGAGGGCAGCATTTGAACAGTCAAAATATGTGAGACAACAATTGTAACGCCGCATCAACTCTTTACAGGAGTGTCAACACAAGTATACTTCGAGGAGAATCCCAATGCAACAGCTCAACCATAAAGCCCTGATAAAAAAAATTAGTGCAGGCTTGCAGCATCTTTGCGGTGATTGAGCAAAAGCAACCACGTTTAGCTCCTCTTTTCTGTATGGAACAGAAAGTGCCGGTGAAAGCAATTCAGGCTGACAGTGAAATGAACTGAAATAAGATCAGGAAAGCAGAATGGAGATTGCGCTGCAGTTCACATAAGGTCAATCCTGAGCATTAACCAACCATCTCGACTCCATTCTGCTGCTTCCAGACTCAATGATTGCAATAAAGGCAAAGGTTGAAAGGGTTGTTGATCAACACAAATGACTCATAAAATTACTCAAGTCTGAGCTCATGCGTCCAACTTTGAGACGTGGCCACATTTCAGGATTAGATTTATGGTGATTCTTTGACCTTTCTATCCAGAGCATCCCCCGGTTTGAATATCAGGTTGGTTGACTATCCAGTCTTTTCCTCTTAGTTGTATAAGGCCTGCTGGCTACATTTTGCCATTCACTGTCTCATTGATTGATTTGGTGGTTTTCACCCATTTATCAGCCAGAGAAACAGTTCAATCAACACGACCAACACACACGTCCACATCAACTAAATCATTTTGCTTAGAAGTTCAGGTGCGAGCAAAAAGGGAGACTGGTTAGAATGAATTATTATCCTCACCGGTGGGCGATAATAATGATCAATTTAAACAAAGTCAGCGTTTGATGTGGAGTTTAACATATACTTGATCTTTACACAGCTGGGATATCACAAAGGGAGGCAGCTGAGCATATAAATGGAAAAGAACTGATTAAACTTTATGGTATAACATACACCAATAAGACCTCACATTATGACCACCTGCCTCATACAGACACGGTTCTCCTTACCCCCTAGCCTAGAAGATGAACCCATTCGGGAGGATCTTTTTGTGCTGGTCTCTCCAAATAGTAATCATCATGTAAATCTGAGGTAAATGTTACTGCGAACATTCATAGTTCACAGAGGATATCCCTCTTTAGAATTTCTAATTCACCGATTGATCGGATTTGCGTGAAATCTCGTGTGAAAGTGTTTTTCCAGCTCGCATTTCATTCATGACACCATGCGTCTGCTTACAGGACAGACCTGCATCCTTATTAATGGATTAGTAGGTGGGTTTGCGGATCTCAGCAGGCACACACACTTTGTGTTTTTACATAGAATTATCGCCTCAGGCAATCTCGAGAGCAATAAAACACAATCACCTCCATAAAGAACTGCTATGCAAATTTCATGCTATGCATCAGCCCCGCTGTCTCCAACCATTCATTACTGTCCCCGCCAAGTCCCTGTAAACTTGGTGGGTTCTTGAAGGACATCGGTGGCACCAGAAAAACGCCTGAAGCAAGGGACGAACACGACAACGGGGGAGTTGAAGTGGTGGGGGGGGGGCTGCCTGGCGTGTAGGTGGGAGGAGCTGCTTTGCAAAATGCCCACAGCTATGGCCAAACCCCTTCATCATTTATACAAGAGCTAATTCGTGTGACAGCGGGCTTGTGTCGCTCACAAGTGTGAAGACACTTGGCCTGGTCTCCGCGTCGCATGATGAAATGCACATATAGCTGCCGCAGCAAGTGGCAAGTGACGGATGGCATCAACTGCCCACCGCCTGGCTCCAGATCCTGTCGAAAAACGACTCACAGAGGACGACGAGAGGCTGATACGCAGAGCCGAGGCTCGCTCTCAGCTCTGACTGGCAGCATGATGAAATTATCCCTGAGTCACAACAATATACAAGTGCAAAGAGCCAGCACACAAGCACACACACACACACACTAACACACACACACAGCCAAAGCAAAGATGTGAGTCGGTGCTCTACATATCAGGGCTTTGATCAGACACATTACAGATCACCAGAGAACGAATGTGCATATATCTTAATATCTGTGTCTGAAAAAAGGCTTCCAGGAGTCCTAACTGGCTTTCATAATGTTCCCCTGAGTCACTCTGCGTCACTGCAGAGCAGAGAGCTGGTGGGCATCGTACGGTTATTAAACTCCAGACACATTACGTTTGTGGACCCAGGAAACAGGCAGTGAATACATACAACCACCAATTATCCTCGGCACAGTCAACAGTCCGCCGTTTCTTATTTAGACAGTTGTAGTAGCCAATGACACAATCCACCCACTCCAGTTTATCCGTTTTCAGGTTGGTCTTTTTAATTAAGAGCGTGCAGATACATTAGTAGTTAGCGGGAACTGATAAAATTCCTGTTATCCGATTTAACGGGCAATCACATTTAACACAGGTCCGCGCCGCTCGCACACAACTGCAGCCTGACTGCAAGCGTGTGTGAAATGCTCTGCTTCTCCTCGGGGAATTTGCCATAAAATTATATGACAGGCTGCACTGAATGAACTATGACATGGATTCCATTTCCATATTAAAACAATCTTCCTTTATAGATTGTAATTACTCGCAGGCTGCTAAAGATGGAAATGATGTTTCACAATGTTCTATTGCAAAGAGAGCTTTTGCAAAATAGTGTGTCACCCAGTATTTATTAAAAATTCCACTTATTGTGAAGCAAGAGGAGTTAATCATTCATTACAGCGTGTATTGTATTTGGTATTATTCCCCGTCAGGACCCAGCTATAGAGTAGAGCTCCATTGTGTTGGTTAGGTTTTGAAATATTTTGGCATTGGTTTGGTTTTATAATCAGTCTAACTGACACACAACACTTAGTCTGAATGATTATCTTCACTCCAGTGCACGTTTTTGACAGTGACTGAAGTGCCACCATCGAGGCACCCGTTTAGAGAGCATGAAAATCATTTTAACACGCACTAGCATCACATATGAACTGAGAGAACAGAGCTTTTATGGAAGATTAAAAACACTACATGGAACATTTTAAATATTCACAATGTAAGTGAAAATTGATTTGTAGAGACTGTATCAAATTTTGAAAAGTAATTAATCAAAAAAACCAGTAACCCATCTCAAACTGATTGCAACAGATTAACACTTTTTCAAAGGCCTTATGTTCAGAGTTACAGCTAATGAATATATATGATCGTGGCTCAAATTAACGACTAAAAAGAAACTTTTTATCCAACACTACTGAAGACAAATCACATCACAAAAGTGCAGAATTAATTTTTAAAAGTGTATCCCTCTCTCTCAAGGCTGTGTCAACAAGTGAAGTGCAGGAGAAATAAATGTCTTCCCATCGGTACAAAGTACGGCCAAAAAAAGCTGTGTTTGTTTTATCTTTCCAGCAAGTTCAAAGCCAAAAATACTTCCTATGCAGCATATTAAGTATTTTTGGCTGCCACAGATCAACAGGGAATTTTGCCCAAAGGTGGCACTGGTATTTATCAAGAAGCAGCTCTCTTCTATTAAGAATCACATCAAGTTGGTCCATTTAAGATTTCAGACTTTGAAATAAACTTAACTAAAGTTAAAAGAGAGATGACCTGTCACAGGGTGTCAAACAACTCTGAGTGCTTTGATGCCGCAGGCAGAAAAAAGGTCGACAAAAATGACTAAAGTTAATACTGTATTATTCTACAAAACAATTTTCCTTATCTGGAGTTCACCTCTCTTCTCTTTGTGTTGTTAATTTCTGATTCTGGAAACCTGCTGAGGAGGTCAAGTTCTGCACAGCTGCTGATAGAAATCTGACAGCGTTTGGTGGTCCCCAAGAGGACGGCACCATGGGCTGTTATTGCCTGAAGGAACGACTATATATGTGTTATACTTGAGTGTTTAAAGATGATGCATCTGACCGGAGCAGCCTCTGTGTCTCCTGAACTACCCCTCATCTTCTTATATGACTTCTTGTGCTGTGCTCCTACATATAAGACCAGTCTGAAGAGAAAATCTATAAAAGGCACTTGTACCCTTGAAAATGACCGTGTTGCAAACCCTGGATGTAAAATGTGAGACGGCAGCTCATCTTTAGCGGGCGGGTTGTCTGCGTGGCGGTGACGGACCGTAACACTTGACAAAACGAGGAACTGCGTCCCGCAGAGTTTAGACGTTTCCCTGCTTCGACGCGGAATCGGTTTCTTCAAAATGACCGTCCAGATCTGCCCAGGCCTGCTATCTGTGCACTTATGTGTGTGGTGGATGAAATATATCTGCCATCCACCTCGCTCGGCTTTGAAGTTTGCCACCAAATCAGCAGGAAAGTGGACAATCTTCCTCATGACCTTGGATTTAATTAAAGTTTTTAAATAAAACAAAGAGGAGGCAGATCCCCAGGACACTCAGTCTATGGAAGCCACCAACCGGCTATAACTACTGTTTTTGTATTACCATCTAAATATGACAAAAACCCAATCCCGCAAACAGAGAGGTTTTTTTTTTCTGTAAGTTTCTAAAGTTCATTGTGAATAATGTAAGATTGCCACTTTAGCTTTTCTTAACCTTTTCTTCACGTCAGCTCTAATTTCACAGCTCTGTCTGTTAGCACACGGCGCGGGATGACATCTGACAGCCATCTTTACTCTGCCGAGCATATGCTAGTCAAGGCGGCGGCGGCGGCCAAGTGCGTCTCATTACGCTAACATCACTTGACGTGTGCGGCGCGGTAGGTAACGTGTAATAGGACACCAGGTGAGAAAGGCAGATGTCTGGCTGACCCCCGTGCTACGCGCCCCCTGACACCGCCCTGATCCTCCGCAGCTAGACGAGCGGCGCAGCGGAGCAGAGGAGCAAATGATACGCTTAATATTAATGCACGTTGTTTTAAGGGGAATTGATTCCGAATGCCGTCCGAATACACAACAGCGGCCTCTTCTATATTTATGCGAGTGAACTACTCTCTGCTTGTGTGATGGTACCTAAGTAGGAAAATGATTCCAAAGTACTCCAAAACGATAGATGAATAATGGCACGGGGGAAAAGAGGGGGCAGCTGGAGGGGGGGGGGTCTCCTAAAGAAGAAGAGCACGCTTTGTGGTAACCCAGGACCAAGCTACTTTATGGGAAATGCACTCAGTCGGCCACTTATTGTCCTCAGGAGCACTTCCAGATTTCACATCCCCATCACGAGTCACATAGAAGCATCTGTTCTAAAAAAAGCCGCCATGTTCGGATGAGTATTGCGTCCGAGTCTGACAATCTTTAAAGCTGCATGAAGCGTAGTGTTTATGCAATCCAAAGTCCCCACAGGGGTAGCACAGAAGGAGAGACGAGCACAGCCCCACAAACAACCGAGACAATGGGGCTGTGCTCCGTTTGCCCCAAATCTAATTCACATGTTAGGTAGGTGCACTATTCCACCCACAGGGAATGTCAGATTGAAACTTTTCGCCGAGGCACAGGGATGGTACGCCCCAGGGAGAAAAAGGGACTCAACAGCTTTAGATTGTTTCCTTTTCGCAGTGGCAGAAGAGCATCCTGTATAGCTAAATCTTCCAGGACTTCGAGATCCTAGCAGCTCAGTTATTTTACACAGTTTCTAGGCAATTCGTAGGTGACATTGCCTGGGGCGGCTTTTAAACCGGAAGTATTCCCCTTACGTCCACCCTCTGCTTACTGAACCGACTTTATAATTCACTTCAGTCCCGATGTGATCACACAAAGAAGGTAATTTTGGTGGTAAGATAGCAGAGTTGCTGAGATATGTCAGGATTTATTTAGAAATAAGTGGCTGTGGACGACATTTTGAGGCATAAAGGGAAAATGCGCAATATGCTTTGCAAAAGCAAACAGCAGCTTTTATGACTGTAAAGCAGAGAGCACTGTAAAGTCACTGTGACTCACTTCAAATTTCACTCAGCAATCCCTCCAGGATGGCCTCCGCCGTCGATGCAAACACAGAGAAAATGGTGAGCATCAGCAGACTATTATGGCCCCATAAGTGCTGTACAGTAATGCGCGATAGCGTGGACTGCGGCTTTAAAGTTCAATCACAGCCTTCTTAGAAAATATGATCACAGCATCTGGGAGAAAAATAGAGCAGGACATAAGACTGAGGGAGCGTAAGTCAAATCATTTACACCACTCAGCCTGTGATGGAGCAGTTTGGAGCCCGGAGATCTCTGCAGAGAAAATAACAATGCAGAAAAGATACCGAACCGTGCGCTACACTCAACCACGAGGGAGGTCAAAGCTGACGGCTGGAAGGGATTCATTTTCAGGGAGCTATGAAATATGAGCTTTGTGCTGCCAAATTGATTTAGCTGTAAAAATTCTTTTCATTTTCTTCAATAAAGATTCACAATTTTAAAGCCCCGCCACTTTATCGACAAGGCCACCGTGGTTTGCTTACAATTTACAGCCCGGGTCATGATCTCAGTGAGTCTTCCTTTGCATGCTTAATTCTGCCCGCTCAAGGAAGATTCTTGCAGAAATCATAGTT